GGCGCGTTTATAATAAACCATCGTGACCATGGGTACGGTTTCCATGGCATATTCATGATATCTAATTCCTAAATTCAGGGGTGCATTTCATGTAACCCGATCATAACAACTTCGAATGTTAATAAAATACACATGTCGTGAACCCCGAGTGCATTTCATGTAGCGTGATTCGCGGCTTGTTCCAAAACAAACAAGTGTACGACAATCGTAACTTGTTCAAGAAATAATTCCATAAGTTCTAAAAAGCGGTCAAAATAATTAAAAGTGGTTATAAAGTTAAAAATGCACAATAGGTTTAAAACATGTAGTAAATCAGATAATAGGTCAATTAATAATAGTTAAGGCGACCGTGCTAGAACCACGGAACACGGGAATGCCTAACACCTTCTCTCGGGTTAGTAGAATTCCTTACTTAGAACTTTTGGTTCGCAGACTTTTAAATAAAGTCAAAATTTTCTCGATTTGGGATTTAAAAATAAACCGGTGACTTGGGACACCCAAATAAACTATTCCAAGTGGCGACTCTGATAAATTAAATAAAATAATTCCATTTCGATTAATGTCACTTAATTGGAAAAATTCCCTTATATCCCCCTGCAGGTGGTAAAAAAGGAGGTGTGACAATGCTTATCTTCGAAAGGCTACTGAACTATTAGTAAACACTTTCTTTCATTTTGTCGTGCAGATTTAAATTTCAAAGTTTGAACATTTACTCTTCTACACCAGTCAGGGCCGCGAAAGGCTAGGACCGAGGTAGGGGCCGAGGTGGGGCTGGCACTGCTGCTACAACAGCACCTGTAGAGTCACCAGTTGCTCTAGTGGAGAAGTAGGTTCCGGATACTGTTGAGCCGGTGAGACTAGATCAGACACCGGTGGTACCTATTGCCATACATGGTTTGGCTCAGCTCTTGAGTGTGTACACAATCTTGGCTCAGGCGGCTATGATGCCAGTTACACTAGCTACCTCACAAGATGGGGGATGAGCCAGACTCCCGTTGTTCGTACACCGAAGCACCTAGCTTAGGGTTATCAGACACCGAAAGTGTTGCCAGTTCAACAAGTTATTGCTGCTCGGGCCGAGGTTGGACCATCTATGACTGATAAGGAGCAAAAGAAGTTGGAGCGGTTTTAGAGACTTCGCCCTCCCCAGTTCAGTGGAGGAGAGTCGGTATCATCAGATTCTTCGCATAACAGGTATTTTGGACACTAGTGGAGTTGATTTTACTACCTTTCAGCTGAGAGGGCCATTCTACAGGTGGTGGCAAACCTATGATTCAGGCAGACCAGCTGGCGCAGCACCACTTACATGGCATCAGTTCTCAGTTCTCCTCTTAGAGAAGTTTGTTCCACGGACTAGCATATATGAGTTACATAGGGAGTTTGAGCATCTATTCTAGGAGGGTATGACTCTGACCTAGTATGAGATGATATTCGCGGAATTGGCACGTCATGCAGTATGGTTGGTTCCCACTAAGAGAGAGAAGATCAGGAGGTTCATGGTTGGTTCCCACTAAGCAAATGTAATTGCTTACATTTAAATACAATTGAGAAGGCACGAAGGTGCTAGCAAGTTAAAGGAAGGTTGCGATTAGTATAAATAGATACGTATTGATCGCAAGCTAAAGTATGGTAGAGCGACAAGGTTTTAGGTAGATAGGAGTAAGGATAAGAAAAGGTGAGTGAGAAGGTGACAAAAATAGGTAAAGCCTCGGGATTAAGCCTATCAAAATAAGAGAGTTGATGGTTTTCGTAAGTTACAGAAAGCTCGATACAGCGTGAATGAACTCAGAGGAGTCCAAGACTAGGAGCAATTAGAGTAGATGAAATGCTGCCCTGGTAGTAGAATAAGGGTTTAATAGTGATAGATAAGAGGATGACATTTAGGCCTTTGATTAAGTAATGATTTTAAGAAAAGGAATTTCATGAATTACACAGGATTAAAATACCCCCATAAGATGAGTCACGTTGGGACGCTATGAAATACAATTATTGAAGTATAGTATCGTCCCTAGGTGGATCAGGAAAATCACTTCAAATGTTCCGCGAGGCAACGTGAGCCCTAGTGACAATGTATTATGTAAGAGGTTTCAAGTTATTAGTGGTAGATTATGGATCAACATTAAGGTGAATCAACAATGGATAGATACAATTTAGAAAGTATGAGATGAGATTAGGATGTCATTCCTAAGATGAACAGTAATGAGGAAGCATTAAAGGACTTAGATTTATACCTATCGGATAAGCAGCAAGAGCGTAACCTACAGTTGGGTAGCAAACCTCGGTAATAATAAATTGAAGTAAGTGTTATGGTAAAGTAAGACCTACCTAGATGTAGTAAAGCCATGAACATAGATAATTGAGGCTATGAAACAAGATATATCAATAGTCGTAAGTTCAACAGAGTACCGATCGAAGAAATTCAGTACACCTATAGATACCCAAAGGGACAGCTTCTTATAGTTCTATATATGTTCACAAAGTGAGGCCTAGAGATTGGCTAAAAGCTAGAGGAAAAAAGGAGAGAAGAGTCGCATAAGTGCCATACAAGATCAGAGTCGTACATGCTGCATGACAGAAGGTAGCAATATTTACAAGATTGGAAGAATTCCGATCACAAGTCGTTGTGTGAGAAAGAGGCCTAAAGGGGGGGAATGCCCTGGCCTTTGGACTTATTCACAGAATAGTTGCCTAGATGTCAAGGACAATATTAAAGTATTCTTAAGAGCTATAGGTTATGACACTGATAAGCACCTCAGTCAACATTCAAGGACGAATGTTCCAAAGGGGGAAAAGATGTTACATCCCGTGTTTTCGTATATGAGAGTACGTCGTAAGTCAATTGATGTAAGCTTATAAATGAGATCTTCTTTGAAAGTACATAAAGTAAGTTAATCATGTTACCTTAGAGGTTACAAATTTGTATTATCATGGATAACAAGTACCAAGAGGGTTGAAAGGCTTAGAAGCTAAACAAATTGAAGAAAATAAGTTTCGTCGAATGTCGACAAGTTGGGAATGTTATAGCATGTAATTTTGGGGTGATACTAGGGTTCTTAACATGATAAGAAGGTTATGTTATGATAGATTTTAGTCGTATGATAGTCGTGTATTATGTTTGAAGTCAAGCAAGTTGTGGAACAAAAGTTGGCAAAGGTCATCACAAATTACATTCATAAATGTGATGAAAATTAGGTCAAATATAGCTAAGCTTTTCTCCCAATATTTTTGGAATTACAAGATTATCCACCTACCAAATTCAAGATCTAAGAGTTTAGTTTCTATATTATTAAATCATTCGTCGATATGACATCCGAATAGAGAGATATTCACATTTTTGTGAGACTGGGCAAGCAGCTTCCAATGGAACCCACTTAGACGGTGGACGACCCTTGAAAATTTTAAAGGGGTTGGATGGCTCATTTTTGGTCATTTTCGACCAAGGACAGTTCCAAAACTCTCTCAACACTTCCATAATAGTTCTCCAAGGTTCCAAGTCGAATCCAAGGTGGTTTTATCTAAACCTAGCCTCAAAAGTTAGCCTAAGTGAAGAAGAGAGTCTCTATGGTATTGTGATGTATTTTAGGGTGCTTGTAAGCTAAGAAAGCTTTGTTTCGAGTTTGTTCAGATTATTTAAGGTATGTATAACACCCTATACCCTATTTATTATGATTAAGCTTATCTATCTATTGGTTATGTTATTTGGATGAAGATTTACAAGATAGAACTTGAAGTTGGATAAGAAGTTGTTGTCTCTTATTGGACTATTTTGGAGTTGTGTATATGACTTCATATCACTGAAAATCGTGGGGAATAGCTTGATTATAATGTTCTTATTGTTGTTATGCTTGTCAAATCTTGATGATATTTTAAATAGGAGAAGAAGCAACCACACAATACCTAGAAGTTGTACTTGTTGTTGTTATATCTTGTTGGGTTGTCTGATGTTACTTTTATGATGGATATAAGATTGGAATATCATATCAATATATATGTTTATATGCTGAACCTTTTAACGGTTTTGTAAGTACAGGGGAGATGGAAAAAAGAGTTGGGGTTTGATTCCAATCCAAAGCTTACCGCTCGTCGTGTTAAATAGTAGTTTCGTTGGTGACATTTGTGCACTTGTTGTTGTGTAGATTGATTGGTATTCTTGGGTTGTTGGGTATGTTGTGGTGGTGAAGGTATGTAGTTGAAGGTTGTATGTGTTCTTGTTGTTTTGATGGACTTGGGGAAAGCAAGGAAAACAAGGGAGATGATGTCCGTATTAATATGAAATAAGCTTGTGAATCGTTGTACAATAGTTGCATCATTCGTAGCTTAACGATAGTATTATTATCATTGTTGTAGATTAAGTGCGACTAGACGAGTTTAACGTGGTCATTGGATAGACTGTGATAAGGTATGTTAAGGCTATCCCTTCTTCCCTTTTGGCTTGATACATATGATATAAACAAAATGAGCAAACACAAAACTTTCACAAATGGCAGAAGGCTATCAAAGGGCAAGCTTTATCCGACCACCTAGCACAAAATCCGGTGGATGGGGATTACGTGCCACTTACTACGTATTTTCTCGATGAAGAAGTATTATTTGCGGGAGAAGATATTGCAGAACCGCATCCTGGATGGAGAATGTTTTTCGATAGAGAAACAAACTTCAAAGGAGTCGGAATTGGGGCAATCCTGATTTTAGAATCTAGACAACACTATCCAGCATCGGCAAATATAAGATTCCCTTGTACCAATTATATGGTTGAATACGAAGCGTGCATCCTTGGGATTAGAATGACAGTCGACATGAACGTCAAAGAACTTTGGGTCATAGGGAATTCCGATCTATTGATACAGCATGTCCAAGGGGAATGGTCCACCAAGAATGTCAAGATACTTCCATACCTGCACTGCGTGAAGGAGATATTCAAGAAGTTCACAAAGATTCAGTTCAAGCACGTCCCCAGGATTTAGAACGAGTACGTCGACGCCATTGAAACCCTATCATCTATGATTCTCCATCCAGACAAGAAGTACATCGGCCCTTTTGAGGTAGAGATCAGGGATCAACATGACTATTGCTTCCATGTAGATAAAGAACCAGATGGCAAACCATGGTTTCAGGACATTAGAAAATTCCTTGCAACTAGAGAATACCCGGAGAATGCTACTAATGGTCAAAAGCAAGCCCTCAAGAGGCTGGAAAACCACTTTTTCCTCAATGGGGAGGTCTTGTACAGGAGGACCACAGATTTAGGTTTGTTGAGATGTGTAGACACTGCGGAGGCAAACAGGCTACGGGAAGAAATACATACAGGAACGTTGTTGACACCCAATTTTTCCCTATATATTTTTTCAATATGCAAAATAACTTCAAAATGGTATATGTATGTATATATAAGTATATCCAAGTGATTCATTACTTTTTCTTAATTTAAAAAGATTTTTTGTCACGACCCAATTTCCCAAACCCGGTCGTGATGGCGCCTCTCGTGAAGACAAGGCCAGCCAACAGAACAACGACGCCTCTTTTAACAGTTACTTAGCATGAATAAGTCTGAATCATAGATAATGAAATCATATTACAGAATAAACGTGATAAAACAGGGAACCCATCCCGACTCAGCTCGAAATCGGGGTGTCACAAGTCACGAGCATCTAGAAGGATTTTTGATACAACTACAAAGCCTGTAATACATAGAATAAAATCTGGAATCAAAAGGAAGAAACCCGGTGCTACGAACGCTGGCGACCACCTTGCTCAGCTACAATAGCAAAATCCTCAACCAGCTCAAACCCGCTACCGGGAAAACTAATACCTGCATCTGCACGCGAGGTGTAGGGAGTAAAGTGAGTACTCCAACTCAGTGAGTAATAAAGGTAAATAATAATTGAGCAGCAAGAAACCACGTAAAGCAAGCCATCATGCTATACAGAACAGTGTAACCCTTTGAGAAAACAGTGAAACCGTGAAATCTTTAGAAATATCTGGACTCAGTTTAAAACCTCTTTTGAAAACATCTTTTTTTTTTCCCAACAGTTAAGCAAATGAATGCGAAACAGATGGTGCAAGTCAGCACAACAGTCAGCCCCTCGGGCACAGCACTCCATTAACAAATAACACCAGGGTATCAGGTAAACGGTGCAAGAAGTAACATGGATGCCAATGAAATGCGAGTGCTGGAATGTCATGACAAATAATACAAATAGGAACAAATGCATGAGTGCAATGCAATGCATATGACGGTACACTCCGGTACCCACTGCGGCATGCAGCCCGATCTATTTTACGTCGACGGCGCTCACTGGGGGTGTGTACAAACTCTGGAGGGGCTCCTACAGCCCAGGCGCAATATCAAGCCATCTCGTGGCATCAACCAGGCTCTCGGCCTCAAAATCAATATAACACCGCTGCGGCGTGCAGCCCGAGCCATCCATAGTCCAGAAATACACATGTAACACTGCTGCGGCGCGCAGCCCGATCCATGCTCAGTCCAGAAATGCACATAAGCCACTTGGGCAATACAACATGGTAGTTCTCAGCTCAAAACGTCAATAAAATATTGTTTAAGTTTTCAAATCTTAGAAAAATGGCTGAGTTTGCAAAACAGTATTAAAACCTTGGACCGAGATAAGATAATATGCAAAGTAATGCGAAAACAGTGATAACAATCCCTGAAGGATTCACATAGTTGGCATGAAACCCAAACATGGCAATAAGTCCAAATTATGATGATAACAAGTAGTTTCAGTCAAATACGTAGTAATTTCATCAATCGGGACGGACCAAGTCACCATCCCCAACGGTGCTCTACCCCACGCCCACTATCCGGCATGCAAGTCACCTCAATACAGCACTATGATGTGCAAATCCGGGGTTTCAAACCCTCAGGATATCATTTACAATCATTACTCACCTCGAACCGGTGAAATCTCTAGCTCGCGACGCCTTTGCCCCTCAAATCGGCCTCCACGGGCGTCGAATCTATCCAAAATCAGAGCGAATACATCACAATATGCTAAGGGAACAATACCCAATCGAAAAATAGCAAAAATCTCGAAACTAGCAAAATCCGAGCCCCGGACCCACTTCTCGAAAAATTACAAAATTCACATTAATGGATTCCTCATCTCGCCACGAGTTCATACATACCAAGAACTCCCAAATCCAACCTCAAATGGCCCTTCAATTTCCAATTTAAAAATCCCAAAACTCAAGCCTTAATTCTTCCACTTTTGGCTTAATTTTCATGAATTTCTAGGTGGATTTCACAATAAAAACGAGTTTTAAGTTCAAAAATCTTACCTCCAGTCGATTCCCCTTGAATCCCTCTTTAATCTCCACCAAGAAGCTCTCAAAATGATCAACCATGGGGGAAAAATGGCTAAAAATCGCGGATGAAATGTTTATAAACATTCTGCCCAGACCTGGAAAACCCTTCATCGCGTTCGCGGCCACTACCTCGCAAACGCGAAGTGCAAAAATTTAAAAGCTCGAAAACACTCTACGCGAACGCAAATTAATGCATGCGAACGTGATAGTTTAGGCTTCATACTTACGCGAACGCGCTACCTCACACGCGAACGCGTAGAACAAACTCCACTGGGCTCCAAATCCTTATTCGCGAACGCGACACCCTCACTGCGAACGCGAAGCACAGGGTCAAGGCCCTCCACGAACACGAGACACCAAATGCGAATGCGAAGGCCAAACTCAGGCCAACCCAATTTCCTTCTACGCGACCGCGAGGGACCTCACGCGATCGCGAAGGCAAATTCTTCTGCAACAGCTGATGGTCAATTTCTGCAACATCTCAACATGGAAAAGGGTCCGATTGACCACCTGAAACTCACCCGAGGCCCCCGGGACCTCAACCAACAGCACCAATACATCCTATAACATCATTCAAACTTGTTCCAATCATCAAAACACGTCAAACAACACCGAAACCATCAAATTACATCGGATTCAAGCCTAAGTTATTCTAAAACTTCCGAAACACGCATTCGATCAAAAACCCAACCAAACAACGTCCGAATGACCTGAAATTTTGCACACACATCACAAATCACATAACGAAGCTACAACAACTCTCAGAATTCCATTCCGACCCTCGGATCAAAATCTCACCCATCAACCGGAATTCGCCAAAATACTAACTTCGCCAATTCAAGCCTAATTCTACACCGGACCTCCAAAATAAATTCTGATCACACTCCTAAGTCACAAATCATCCCCCGAAGCTAACCAAATCACCAGAAATCACACCGTCGCCTTATAACTTATAAGTCAACGTCCAGTTGACTTTTCCAACTTAAGCCTTCCTTAAAGAGACTAAGTGCCTCATTTCTACCAAAACCAATTCGAATCAACTATAACACACCAAATACTGATAATGAAACATGAAGAAGCATAAAATGGGGGAAACGGGGCGGTAACCATGAGACGACGGGTCGGGTCGTCACATTTTTAAATCTATTTATTCTCCTATTTTATCCATAAAAATCCAATTATTGCTTCCAAAATTATCATTTGGGTGATTCACTTATTGCACTTTTATATCTATACTAAAATATAGCCAAGGGAATTTTTGCACATTTTTACAAATTTATTTAGTATTTTTAAAGCTAAATTGCATATAATTGCAATATTAGCCTCTTTTAAGATTTAACTGCGTTTATATTCATATAATTAAGTCCGGTATTTCTAAATAATTCATTATGTGTCATAAATTATTTTAGTACCTTTAATTTATTTCCAGAAGTTAGTTTATTATTTTTTATAAATTAAATAGGGGAAAATTGGCTATTTAAATAATGGCCCAATTTCATTTCAATTATAACCCAATTCTGACCCCAATTGAACCCCGACCCAATTGCAAATTAAATCGGCCCAAACCCAATTTCGTTGAACCGACCCACCTACCCCTTCTAATCTAAGCCGTTGATCATTCAGATCAACGGCCACTATTACACCTTGCCTTAATTAATCCTGAACTACCCCCCAAACCCTTTCATATCTTACCCGCCGCCTCCTCTGAATCCCTCTTCTCTCAATTCTCTCTGAAACCTCACCTGAACCCTAGCCGCCGCCACCCTAATCCATGGCCTTCCGGGGTCATCTAAGACATATACCGGCCTTCCATGGCTTCTATGTGTTTGGTTCTGTGGTCTCATGACCAGACTTTGAAGGGTTTTGGTCCAGTCCTTGCTCGATGACCTTTCTCCGGTCATCCCTGACCTTTCTCCGGCCAGCCATGGCCATTCGAGTCAGACATTTGACTCTCCTGGTTAGATCGGTAACCTTCAAGGCCTTTCTCGTTGCTTTTGTGGTTCTTCTGAAACCCTAATCTCTAAGACCTTTTCGACTTCTTTCAGATTTACCTCAGGTCCATGCTTGCCATGAGTTTTTAAATGCCTTCTCGAAGTTTCTTTAACTTTGCTTTCAAAAAGACTCTTCATCTTTTTCCGATTAGGGTTTTTCTTCAAGTTCTTCTTTTCAAAATCTTTTCTCTGATTTTAATATGTATGTGATTCTACTATGTTTGTACATGTTATTCTCCTATCTGAGTTTAGCATGTTAAAAAACCCTAATTTCTTTTGGGTTCATTCGAGTTTCTGAAGCTGTTTGTTAAATATTTGTTTGATTTATTTGTTTATCATCTTTACACTCGATTGAATTGGAAAACCCTAATTTCTTTTGGGTTCATTCGAGTTTCTGAAGCTGTTTGCTAAGTATTTGTTTGATATTTTTGTTTATCATCTTTTAAGCTTAAATATTGTTGAAGAAACCTATGCCTTTGGGTTTGAAACTATTCGTTTGAATGCCTGACTCGATTTGAAAGTTCCTTGTTTCAGAACCTCTTTTTCTTTGTGTGAATCCTCTGATTCTGGGTTTTACTATCTTTAATATTTGACTATACTTGAAACCCTAATTTTATAAAAGATCTCTCATCTGTTACTGTGAGACCCTTTGCATGCTTCTGATACTCTATTTTTCTTCACTATTGATTCAATGAACTTGACCTACTTGATTATCATGCTTCGAATGTTTGCTATCTACTGAACTTTGTGCTACTATTGCATGCTGTTTCTTTTGCCAAATAGGTTTGGCCTCGGATGTCTATTGTTAGTGCACTCTATTATATGCTGAGGTTCCTTCTTTGATTGACTTGCAATCTTGGGACCGATTTCAAAACTTCTCTTTTTGTGAACTCTAATTTATCTCACCTGTTAAAGTAATTGATGCCTTTCCTTATTTTGCCTTATTGAATCTTTCTCCCAAA